GGTTGTGGAATAGAGTAAGAAGAGTTTTCTTTCCACTGCTCAAACCTTTAATAGATATTTTTTTTTAAAAAAAAGAAAAAAAAAAAAAGGTCACAGAAATGTCATGCTCTCCAAGATCAGGTTATTCTATTCCCTTTCACTTACCTAATAAGGCTCCGTTCAGTGGTAGGCAAAGTTGTCAGACTAACCTGGGAAAACTATCAGTTACAAGTTTTTAAAAAATATTATTTAATTGTATTTATCATCATTATTATTCTTTTTCTTTTTTTATGAATTTATTTATTCTATATCCACTCACTGAACATCATCACAGCATATAAAATGAAGTTTCCCATCCAGAATATGCTGTATAGTGGCTTAGTCATACATGTTTATCAACAAATTTTCCATTTGTTTAATACACATACACACACATAAACATAGATCCCCTCCCCCCCATTTCTCACCCTCTGCCATTTCCCACCCTCCTCCCACACCATCTCTGGTATCTGCAGTTGCTTCCCATTCCTTGTTTCTCCCCCCACATTTTATTGGTTAACAAAAATATCTTAATTGATCTATTTTCAATATCAATTTCAGCTATCTGTGAACAAATGTTTGACTTTAGGCATGAAACTGTGAGACTGAATATACTATAGAAAAGCACTTAGTTGAGGCTATATAGTTTACTGTGGTCATTAAGTAGGTACTTAAATTTTTTTTTTTTAATTTCAAGAAAGGCAGTTTTAGTTTTAATAAATGAAAATAAAAAAATGTTAAGAAAACTTTGCTTAAGACTTCAAGCCAGGAAACAGATTAGGATTCTGTTCAAATAGTAGGTAAATAGATCTGCCGACAATCAAGAGAAGACAAAATCCTTATCTCTGGAGTACAAAGCACAGAAAAAGATTAGTATTATTTTAGTCAAAAGTCACAAAATTCTATTTCATCAGCTCAGTATCATGTACTTAATCTAACTTCTGTTGTGGTCCAAGCTTTCCGTTTAAATTCTGGAAGATAATATTCAACTCTGGACTTGTCCCTACCATTAAGCTGGCCCTTTTTTTAAGATGTTTTTAAACTCTTATTTCTGTGTGTCTGACTTTAGTTTTCCTGATAGAGGACTCCCTTCAGAACTTCTTGGAGAACTGGTCTGGTGTTGGTAAATTCTTTCAGGCTTTGTGTATCTGAGAATGTTCTTCTCTTCTCTTCCCATATGAAGGATAATCTTACCGGGCATAGTGTTCTTGGTTGAAATTATTTTTCACTCAACACTTTGAATATATTTTTCCATTTTTTCCTTGCTTGCATTGTTTCCGATGAGAGGTCCGCTGTTAGCTGATGGGATATCCTTTGTAGTTAACCTGTCATTTCTCTCTTGCCAGTCTGAGTATCTTGTCTTTGTCTGTGGTTTTGGTCAACTGGCTATAATGTGTCTTGGAGAAGATCTTCTTGGGTTGATTCTATTTGGGGTTCTTTGTATTTCTTGGATGTAGATCTTTGAATGCCTCTCTAGGTTTGGAAAGTTTTCTTCTAGGATTTCATGGAATAAATGATCAATGCCCTTATTAGTCTCTTCACCTTCTGGGATTCTGATTAGCTGGATGTTTGGATGTTTAATGGTATCTAGTATTTCTCATATGTTATTCTCATTTTTTGGACTATTTTCTCATTATTATTATTTTTCAATTAGCCATAGGGTAAACACACTCACCATAGAGAGGCAGAGAGAGAGGGAGAGAGTGAGTGAGTGAGAGAGAGAGAGAGAGAGAGAAAGAGAGAGAGAGAAAACAAGCCACCAGGTCTGAGACTTAAACCATGGTTGGCCATGTATATGCATAAGTCCAATGCCCCACCACCATACCACCTGCTGGCTGCAGTTCCAAGTTTTCAACATAGCCACAGAGCAGAATTACAAGAAGGCAGAGTATGTATATGTATCTAAGTATCTAGATTACTAGATAAATGTGTGTGTGTGTGTGTGTGTGTGTGTGTGAGTGTATGTATGAATAATATATAATCATATATATCTCATTAACATGCATATTTATTCAGCATTTTTAAAAGAAGCTTAAACTTAGGGAGCAATATGTGGGGACAATGATTTGTATATGTGTCTTCTATCTCTTCTCTGTGTGCTGGAGTATAAGGCAAAGAGAATCATGTACATAAACATTTTTCTCTATCAGAAATAGGAGCAAAGAGTAAGGTATAAAGCTAAATAAATCATTAAGCTGGGTAAAAAATATATTTAAAAAAGCTAGATTAATTTAAAATAATAATTTCTTAGTCTCCTATGTAAATAGCAAAACAATATTATCTGTTTAATCACTTTTGCTTTCTCTGTGTCTCTCTGGTGAGTGTACTTGCCCCAAGGCAAAAACCTAGGAAAAAAAAGGGAAAAAAGAAAAATGTATATTTCTTTTTTTTCAAGAATTGTTTACCTTTATTTATTTAGAGACAGGCAGAAAGAGAAAGAGAGAAAGTGAGAAAGCAAGCCGCCAGGTCCGTGACTTGAACTACTCTCAACCATATGGGAGTCCAGTGCCCTTAACCACCATGCCACCTGCTGGCCCCTGAAAAATGTATATTTCTACCAAAGGAAAGCTGATTTCATTTCTGGCTAAAGTTCTAGGTTAACATAAAACTACCAAAAGAATCATCAGGTATTTGGAATTATTTTCCTCTATTCATATACATTATTTTTTTTTGGAGAGGTTTTTGCTACAGGGCGTGTGCGCTTGCCAGGCAGACAGAAAGCGAGAAATCACCCCTGGGAGGATGGCCACGCCGCAATCCCTTCTCCTCGATTCTCCTCTAGGGATCTTGGGCATGCAGGCACACGTGCCCAGCATGAGTTTTAAGCCACCGGGTCTGGGATGTGAACCGCGGTTGACTATGTGGGAGTCCAGCGACATAGTCATTACGCTAACTGCTGGTCCCAATAAGTTAATTTTTTTTTAAGGGCATATGCACTCCCCAGAGAGACAGAAAGCGAGAAATTAGCCCAAGGGTGGATGGTCAAACTGCAATCCCTTCTCCATTTTCCTCGAGATTTTGGGCATGTATGCACACATGTCCAGCCTGAGTTTCAGGCCTCTGGGTCTGGGGCTCGAACAGTGGTTGGCCATATGGGAATCCAGTAACATAACCATCATGCCATCTGCTTGTCCCCCAGAAGTTAAAATTCTAATAAAAACCTATCCCCTGAGTGGTGATTTCTTACTTTCTGTCTGTCTCTATCTTTCTGGTGAGTGCACGTGCCCTATAGCCGCCAGGTCTGGGACTTGAATCATAGTTGGCCATGTGGGTGTCCAGTGCCCTTAACCACTGCGTCTCCTGCTGGCCCCCATACGTAATTATTTTAACGTTGTATTTATCTTTATATGCTGATAAAATGACCTAAAATAGCCTGTGGCAAAATGTCCATAGTTATAATACATGCATTTGACATCATATTAATTGTGTTTATTGCGCTAATAAAATATCCTACTTTATTTTAAAAGAAAAATTTCACTTATTTGTTCTTATTATTTTTTAATTTGTCATAGGGCATAGGTACTCATCAGACAGAAAAAGAGAGAAAGAGAAAGAAAGTGGGAAAGCAAGCCACCAGGTAGAGGACTTAAATGTAGTTGGCCATGTGCGAGTGCAGCACTCCAACTACCACTCTACCTGCTTGCTCCTAATTTTATTTATTATTATCATTATTATTTTTTAAATTTGCTATTGAGTACGTGTCCTTGCCAGAGGGAGACAGAGAGGGAAAGTGAAAAAGCAGCCTCCAGGTCTGCGACTTGAACTGCAGTTAGCCACGCTGGACTCTAGCATTTTAACTACCACATCACCTCCTGGCCCCAATAATACATTTATTTATTTATTTGTTTCAGAGACATTTTTGCTATAGGGTGTGTATACTCACTGGAGAGACACAAACCCCCCCCCCCTCCCCCCGCCCAAGGCGGGTGGCCACACTGCAATTCCTTTTCTTCTATTCTCCTCTCAGGATTTTGGGTATGGACACACACACACCCAGCCTGAGTTTTAAGTCACCAGACCCCCAGGCAACTACGTGGAGTCCAGCAATGTAACTGTTACGCCATCTGTTGGTCCCAATAATACATTTTGAAAAATACAGTTTGGCTTAGAATATACTTGTTCTTTTTTTGAAGAATTTTATAATAAAAAATATAAATTATTTTAAATGAAAATATAAATCAGTTTAAAAATATAAAACCCAGCTTTACAAAGCATAACGTTTTTGTAATATTAACTATTAAGGCCAACAAGAATAAGAATCCACACAAAAAATACTTTTTAGTTACCTCTGAAGTAAACTTTGCCCTTTCAAAATCTGTATAAGTTTCAATGCTTGCTCTTTTCCAACTCCAGGGACTCCCTTTAGAAAGTGGAAATAAAAATTCAAATTTTAATCACTGGGGAATGGTTAAATAAATTGTACCACATTATTTTTATGGAAGATTATGTAGCTGAAAGACAGTGTTTAAAAGTATAGCATAGCGGGCTAGCTGGTTGCATGGTAGTTAAGGCAGTAGATTCCCACATGGCGGACTGCTGTTTGAGTCCTGGCCTAGTGGCTAGAAAATCAAAACAAACAAACAAACAAATCTTTAAAATATATGTATACACATATAACATGACTGGTATGGTAGGTCTCTCTGTGTAGTCTCATTGTGTCCCTATTGATCAATGAGGTAACTCCTTATAAAATAATAGAACAGATGTGCAAGATACATTCTTATGTGTAAAACAAAAATGTGCAAGATACATTCTTATGTGTAAAACAAAAATGACACAATATGTATTTTATGACTTAGATTTGTAAATTAAACAATTACATTGTTTGCTATGTGAACAAAATATTCAGTTATATGTCAAACCACTGACAGTGTTTACTTAAGGAGAGGGAAGGATAAAATTTTAGGCATTCACCTATGTTAATTTTAATTCTTTTGGTAATATTTTAGTTTTATGCTCTATTTGTAATCAAGAAAAAGAAACTTCATTTAATTATATGAACACTTAATATTTAAATACTCATACATCAAAAGAGAACAAAGGAGAGTTCTAAGGTAAATCTTACAATTAAAAATGAACAAAATTAAAAGAAGCATGAAGTTCCAATACACAAGAAAATATACATAAACATGTATTTATAGTACAGTTTCCTGAATGCCAGGTGGTGGCATGGTGGTTAAGGCTGCTAGTTCCCAGAGGGCCGACTATGTGGTTCAGGACACAGACCTGATGGTTTGGAAAACATGCTGGCATGTATGCCCAGAAACCTTAAAGGGAATGAAAAAGGAAGGATTGTGGCATGGCCATCTCCCACCTGGGGAAATGATTTCTGTTTTTCTCTCTCTTTGCCTTTCTCCAGCAAGTGCCTGTGCCTTGTAGCAAACTAAAAAGAAAAATCATTTATGAATGTGTCTCTATAAGCCTTACTGCTATTTAATCAGTACATACAACAACAGACCTACCAGTGTTAAAATACTTGCACACTGATTAGTTAATTAGGATTAACAATTTTACTGTCCTACTATTTTTTTCTTTTTCCTAAACTCATGTGAAAAAAATATATGCCATTCTTTCTACTTCTCTTGGGAACAGAGGTAAAATGAATAAGATACCTTTGTATCTTATTTGTAAACATAACAGAAATGTTCAGTTGGGACATAATGAGACTACACAGAGAGACCTACCATACCAGTCATGTTATATGTATGTACATATATTTTAAAGATTTGTTTGTTTGTTGTGATTTTCTAGCCACTGGTCCAGGACTCAAACAGCAGTCCGCCATGTGGGAATCTACTGCCTTAACTACCATGCAACCAGCTAGCCCGCTATGCTATACTTTTAAACACTGTTTTTAAGAAAATGGGTTTATTGTCATAATTTTTTATTCATCACTCACCTATTATACCTATTTTTTACAAAGTACTATACTGTACATCTTAAAATAGAAATATTTACATAAACAAAACCCAAAGCTAGCTTAGGCATAGAAATATGGATAGCTTATCCCCATAATCATGTTGCTTGGCAATAGTAATAATGACATTGAACTGTGCACAACTGGAAGGCTACAATGGATTTTGAAAACTGAATAAAAAAAGTGATAGAAACTAACATTGGCATGATACAAGAAAAGAATAATTTCTGTATTTCTTTAAAAGGCTAGTGAAGCTTGAATGCAAATGTCTTAATTTATAGTAGTGGTTTGTTAAGGTTCAAATTGTGGTACTACTTTATTATTCTAGTCTACTTTACAACGTTCAGTGCTACAAGTCTCAGCTTTTTAATACCATCTGAAAGGCTGATTATTTAGTTACTAAACAGCTTATTATGCCTAAAATTGGGTTCTAAATTAGATTTTTATTATATTCATATTTATATAGCATGTAAGGTATCAAAAAGACAGTATAGGAGCCAGCAGGTGGCATGGTGGGTAAGGTGCTGGATTCTCACATGGCTGACCATAGTTTGAGTCCTGGAACTGCTTGATTGCTTTTTTACTAACCTCTTGAGCTCAACCCTCTCTAGTCAAATTAAAGACAGTGATAATAATAATATATGAATTAAAAATATAATTCTTAAAAAAACAGACAGCATGAATAGTAAATAAATACGATTTCCACTTACCTTTGGAAGATAATCACAGCCAAGTAGTATTGCTAATCCAACCAGAGCATCTCTATCCAAACCTAGTTTATCCTTGATACATGACATTGTATAACAGTCAACGTGTGGGTCCTGAAGAAAAGATTTAAAAAATATTTACACATAAAATATTACAAAACAATAATTTGTCAAAATTATCTTTTTGGTTTTTTTTATTTCTTTTAAAATTTATCAGGGGGCAAATGTGTTCACCAGGAACAGAGAGAGGGAAAGGAGAGGGAAAAAGCACTCCTCATTGGGTTTGGGCACACTGTATTTTCCCCATCCTGTTGGGATTTTGGGCACACATGCGTGATGTTTTTTTCAAGCTGCCGGGGTCAACATTTGAACAGTGCAGTTGGCCTATGTGGGATCTAGCTCGATTAACCAATAGGCCATTGGGCTGGCTCACCTTATCAAAGTTATCTTAAATGTGGGACCAGCAGTTGACGTAATGGCTATGTCGCTGGACTCCCATGTAGTCAACCCTGGTGTGAGTCCCGGATCCGGTAGCTTAAACTCATGCCAGGCATGTGTTGTGTGCGTGCTCAAGCTCCTGAAAGGAGAATAGAGGAGAAGGGATTGCAGCATGGCCATCCCCCCGTGCTGGGGCGGGGTGATTTCTTGCTTTCTGTCTCTGTCTGTCTTTCTGGCAAGCGCACGGGCACCCTATAGCAAAAAAAAAGTTATCTTGAATGTATAATTATTGGGACCAGTAGATGCATAGTGGTTATATCACTGGACTCTCTTTAATGACTGCTTAGTATTACATATGCGTGATGTTTTTTTCAAGCTGCCGGGGTCAACATTTGAACAGTGCAGTTGGCCTATGTGGGATCTAGCTCGATTAACCAATAGGCCATTGGGCTGGCTCACCTTATCAAAGTTATCTTAAATGTGGGACCAGCAGTTGACGTAATGGCTATGTCGCTGGACTCCCATGTAGTCAACCCTGGTGTGAGTCCCGGATCCGGTAGCTTAAACTCATGCCAGGCATGTGTTGTGTGCGTGCTCAAGCTCCTGAAAGGAGAATAGAGGAGAAGGGATTGCAGCATGGCCATCCCCCCGTGCTGGGGCGGGGTGATTTCTTGCTTTCTGTCTCTGTCTGTCTTTCTGGCAAGCGCACGGGCACCCTATAGCAAAAAAAAAGTTATCTTGAATGTATAATTATTGGGACCAGTAGATGCATAGTGGTTATATCACTGGACTCTCTTTAATGACTGCTTAGTATTACATCATGTGGACTTTGAGGAAGTTTTTCTCAATGCACTTTCTATTAGCACTTTGGGAATGATAACAAAACTGTTTGGCTAGAGGTTGTTTGCCTGGCCCCAAACTTCCTAATGTTACACTGTAATGCTGTAATGTCCTTTACCCAACCCTGAACTGTAACAGCCAAAATATCTTCTGTAACTCCTTGGCTGTGAACCATGACTGCAGAATATTTAACTATCTCCCTATTAATGAACATTTGTCTGCCAATTTTTTTTATTATTATTATTTCTACAATGAACATCCTTGTATATCCTTCCTTGAATATTTGGAGGCATTTTTGAGACTGAAATTCTAAAACTGAAAATTCTGGGTCAAAGCAGTACATTTCAAATGCAATTCTGTGTGTGTGTGTGTTTTTTCTTTTCTTTTTTTTTTAGAGAGATTTTTGCTATAGGGGATATGTGCTCGACAGAGAGAGAGAGAGACAGAAAGCAAGAGATCACTCCCAAGATGGATGGCCATGCCACAATCCCCCCATCTCCATTATCCTCTTGGAATTTGGGGCATGTATGCACACGCGCCCAGTGTTGAGTTTCAAGTTGCTGGGTCCGGGAATTGAATTGAGTTCAACTAGATGGGAATCCAGAGATGTAACCATTATGCCATCCGCTGGCCCCTCAAATGTAATTCTGTGACATTATTGAAACTGATTTAAAATTACAGCATGTGAAATAAGCCCTTAGGAGAAAAATCTACATTTTGAAGAGCATGAACTATGGTGGCAATGCTATTTTTAAGAACAGTAAGAATTTTATCTAGCAATTGCTATGAGTCAGGCCTTATGGCAAACAATTTACATATATTATTTCATTATTTAATTTAAACAGTACTTTATTTTAAAACTTGCTATAGGGTATGTGCACTTGGTGGGGGAAAGAGAGAGGGAGAGAGAAAGTAAGTAGTTGCTTCCCCCAACCCCCAAGGGAGGATGATTGTAAATCCCTTTCTCTGTTAGCTGTTAAAGATTTTGGTCATGCATGCACAAATACCTGGTGAGGTTTTCAAGCTTTTGGTCTGGGATTCAAACTGGGCTCTTAGTCACCTTGGAACCTAGTTGCTTTAACTACTGTGTACTTCAGTGGCCCTAATCAGTCCTTTAAAAAAAGGTAATCTGTAAACAAATGTTGAGAGGGAGAAAAACAAAATACCTTTGTATTCATAGTGAAATTCCTGTAAACAGTCTGGGCCCCATAAAGGAAAGCATCTCCATCATTGGTGAGGCAGCCATCTACATATCCACAAGCATTGAGGTAGGCACACATGGCTTCTGCTTCCCCAGCAGCTTGAACCCAGGGGATTCCTAAGCATTCTAGCATATCAAGGCACTGAAAACAGAAAGTAGTTATAAGAAATTAAGAGTGTTTTATTGATAGTTTCTTCTGTTTAATTTATTCCACATTACAAATACTAATTGTAGCTATATAGGTGTTTTTAAAATATTTAAGAAACGCTTAGACATTTGAATGCTGACTACTTGATGCCACTAAGGAATGACTGTTAAAGTTTTAGGTGTGATAATAAAAATTAAAATTGGACCAACAGATGGCCGGGAAGTTAAGACAACTGGCTCTCACAAGGCAACTGTGAGATTTTAGTATTTTTTATTTTAATTTTCAGTTTGCTATAGGGGATATGTGCTTTCTGGGGAGAGAGAGAGGAAATATGATAAATCATTCTCCATGTGGGGATGGCCACATTGTAATCCTTTCTCTTCCATTCTCCTCTTGGGATTTTGGGCACACATGCACACATGTCTGGTATGTTTTTCAAGCAGCCAGACCCAGGACTTGAACCATAGAGTCAGCCATGTGAGATCGGCCTCTTTAACCTCCTACGTCACCTGCTGGCCCCTAAACTTACTTTTTTAAAAAATTCATCTTCTAGGGGCCAGCCATTTGGGAGTCTAACACCTTAATCATGCCACCTGCTGATCCCTCTAGTGTAATTTTCAAACCACTGGGTCTGAGACTCAAACCATGTTTGGCTATGTGGGAGTCCAGTGCTTTAACCACTACACCAAATGCTGGTCCCCTTACTTTGTGTAATTTTATCTAGCACCCCAAATCATAAGAACAAGTTCCGTACACAAAAAATGTTTATCATAATTTCATGTATAATAGAAACTAAAAAGCAAACAATACAATCAGGGGAAAGATTCATAGCTTCATGTGTGTTGTACAAATGTTATGATTTTAGATATAATCTAATAGTAGGAAATTATAGGTATGACATGTTAAGCCCAAGATAAAAATTATATGTGCAATGATCCAGACATAGAAGCACAGTGGTAGTGGAAGATATGGTTTTAGTTCCTGGGTGATCCTGTACATGCTTACATGCACATACATGCCCATGATCCTGGCTGGCTATTGGGTGCGGAGGTTAATAGAAGTGTGAGACCCTGGTGAGGGTGTTATCTTGCTCTCATGAAATAAAGAAACTAAATTTGCATTATTATGACAGCTCTTTAAATATATATATATATATATAAACACACATCCAAAACAGACAAACAAAATAGCTTCTTATGGTTTTCAAATAATTCAAAAAAATTGATGATGAAGATTTTATAAAGGGTAACATGATGAAGTCCTAGTATCTTGTCCTAAAAAGATTTATTAATATTATTTATAAATTTGCTATAGGGCACATGAACTCACCAGAAAAAGATAGAGAAGGAAAGTGAGAAAGCAAGCTTTCAGGTCTGACACTGGAGCCATAGTTGACCATGTGGGAATCCAGCATCCTAACCACCATGCAACCTGCTAGCCCCAGTGTATTAGTATTTTTAGATAATACTTTCTCTGTGGGTTGGCAGGTGGTGTGGTGGTTAAGGATATTGGACTCCCACAGGATCAACTGTGTTTTGAGTCCTGGACTGATGGCTTGCTTTCTTACTTTCTCTCACTCTCTCACTTTGTCCCTCTCTGGTCAAATTAAAAAAAAAAAAAAGATAAATAATTCTAAAATAAAAAAGATATTACTTTCTTTGGTTTTATTGTATTCTTATAAATTATTATTATTTCTTCACTTCACAGAATAGGAAATGAGGTAAAGAGGGTAGAAAAAATTTTTGAGAGAGATTTTTGCTATAGGGTATGTGAGCTCGCTGGAGAGACAGAGATAGAAAGTGTGAAATCACCCCCTGAGAAGGGGATGGCCACATGACAGTCCCTTCTTCTCCATTCTCTTGGGATCTTGGGCACGCATGCACATGTGCTCAGTATGAGTTTTAAGTTGCCAGGTCTGGAACTTGAACCACGGTCAACTATGTGGGGAGTCCAGTGATGTAACCATTACGCCATTTGCTGGTCCCAAGAGAGAGGATAAAAACCTTGCTCAGTGTCTCAGATCTTTTAAATGCCAATGCTGGGACTTAAACTCAGGTTAGTAACACTCCAAAACATAAATTACCTTTTCTATTCACACTGGTGTTCTATTCATAGTAAGGTTAATGAGTATTAAAGATGACAAACTTTATTGGAGTAAAATGTACTCTTCTATTCAAATCAGAATTATTGACTTAAATCTGAATGCTCACCTCTCTTAAAACTGATTTAAACTGTGATCTCCCTCTTTTCTGAGACCAAGTTTTTCCCGAAGGCCCATACCGAATCTGATTCCTCTTGCTTATGACATCAGCTTTCAGCTTTGGTGGTTCTCCTTCCATAACAAATACCAATTTTACATCCATTTGTGTCAGATAAGAGATACGAAAAAATAAGTTCCTGAAATATGTAAATTAGTAATATATTAATCACCATATATTGATAGCAAAAGTCAAAATAGCAGTATGACATAGAGGAAAGAAAATTAGTATCAAAATGATACATGTAATAACATTTTACTTATTAAGATTTTAAATGGCATGGGAAACCATTGAATGCTTTTAGGTAAGAGAGATCTATGACAATTGTAACGCTATGTGGAAAACAGTTTGGAGGAGGAAGTTAAGTGCAGAGGAAGAAGTGCAGCTGTTACTTGGGCAGCACATATGAGAAATGAGGTTAGCACAGATGGAGATGTTGTCTTTGGATATTGAGAGAATTTATTTTTATAAGGTTATAAGGTTTTTTTTTTTTTTTTTTTTTTTTTTGCTACAAGGCATGTAGCACTTGCTGGAGACAGAGACAGAAAAAAAGAGAAAAAAGGCGAGAAAGTAAGAAATCAGCCCCCCTCCCCAGGGGGGGATGTTGGCTCCTGGGTCCAGGATTCAAAACCCGCAGTTGGCCGCATGGGATCCGGCCACCTTAACCACAACACCACAGGCTGGGCTGATATTGAGAGACATTTGTGAACATAAAGTAGAACTGGCAAGACGTGCTAATGGACCGTACGTGGGAGAGAGAAAACAGGGAGTCAATGGCTCTCAAATCTCTGGCTTTTAGTAACCAAAGCATATTAAATGTATGTTAAGTAGAAGAGAGATACAAGGGGGACTTCAAAAAATATATATTTAAGACACCAGGCCACCTGCTTGCCCCAATAAGTCAGTACTTAAATTCCATTGTTCCGTGTTCTTTTTTTTTTTTTTTTGGGAGAGGTTTTTGGTATAGGGCGTGTACGTTTGCCAGACAGACAGAGAGACATAGAGACAGAAAGCGAGAAATCACCCCCTAGGGGGGATGGCCACGCTGCAATCCCTTCTCCTCCACTCTTCTCTCGGGATCTTGGGCATGCATGCACACTGCCGGCGTGAGTTTTAAGCCACCGGGTCAGACCGGGAGTCCGGGGACATAGCCATTACGCTAACTGCTGGTCCCATTCCTTTTTTTTTTTTTTTGTAGAGGTTTTTCACTATAAGGCACGTGCGCTTGCCAGACAGACAGAGAGACATAGAGACAGAAAGCGAGAAATCACCCCCTAGGGGGGATGGCCACGCTGCAATCCCTTCTCCTCCATTCTCCTCTTGGGATCTTGGGCATGCACGCACACGCGCCTGGCGTGAGTTTTAAGCCACCGGGTCCGGACGCGAACCGCAGTCGACTACGTGGGAGTCCGGCGACATAGCCATTACGCTAACTGCTGGTCCCATTCCATGTTCTTTTAAAGTACCCTTGCATATGAGTCAATTTCAGAGAAGTAAAAATCTGTGTCTTCAATATAAATTAGACAGATCTATACAGGTTAAATATATTTTAAGATCTCAGAATGTAAAACAGATAAAGCCAAGATGTCAAGACTGCTTATAAAATTGTACCATACCTGAGGTGGGGCTTCATGACGGTTCCGATCATTTTTTTGACTGTTTGTGCTTCACATACCCAAAGACTAAGGTCAACAGCAATGCTTTTCCCAACAAGATTATGCAAATCAATGTGTTGCTTAACAGGCTCCAAAATTTGCCACAAGTCATTCACTCCCATTCTGGTGATTATATGCTGTTATTTGAAACACACTTTACAAAAAAATAAATAAATAAAACAGAAGCTCAGAAGAGGGATGGATTCAAACAACCTATTATAATTTGGGATACTTCATAAATAGAGGCTTCTCTTCATTTCTTTCTTTAGTGTTTCAAAATGAATCAACACCACCTGAAACATTAAGAACAGTGCAACTGGCTTTATTCCAGTTAATAACAAGCGCTAAAAAATACAGAGTTGGATAGAAAGCATAGGTACTATAAATAATTTTGGTCTATTTGAGAACTGTCTCTGAGTTACATATCTAGAAAGAGAATGGGACTAGTCCACTTACATGATCAGGAAAAAAACAAAACAAAACAAAAATCAAGGAAGCATGAACACAAGTTAAAGAAAAAAACAAGTGATTAATGAAGAAAAATTTTGACAGGAAAGTGGAGAAAGAATAAGAAACAAGATTTGGGAGTGATATGAAGTTATTATTTTCTCTTTAAAAATTATTATTTTAAAAATTTAACCAGAGAGAGAAAGAGAGAGAGAAAGTGAGAAAGCAAGTTGCCAGGTGCAGTACTTAAATCCTGGCTGGCCACGTGGAAGTTCGGCACAATTACCACCATGCCACCTGCCAGCCCCAGGAGTCATCTTTTCTAACAAGATCCCTGGCTTTTTAAATTGCAAGATCACATATGTTCCTATAGAAAAAAAAAAAAAATTCAAAAAACAAAATGGTCTTAATGTTATTAAGCTATTAATGTTATTAAAGCTATTGCTACCTGGCTTGGTATTTGTTATGGACCGCTTTTCCTTGTTAAACATTTATATCTGTTTTTCTTTTCCTTTGTTTAATTTGATAGACACTATAGTATTTGCAATAACAATTGGTCTGACCATATAAATATAATCCAAATTACTCTCTGAATAGTGACTTCAGCTCATTCCAAAAACGTGAGACAAAAATATATTAAGTCAGAAGGCTATCACTTTGATGCAGAAACCTAAGAGGTACTATTGATATAGTCTCTTCCTTTAGAATCCTTTATAACTGTTCTCAAAGTACAGATGTTCAAAGAAAACTGCTGTTATTTTGTCTTTGCTTTTCTGAATCTTCATTTTACAATGTGGCCAGTGCCACATGAGTAGTACCTTGTGCACTCAGTTTTATGAATTTCTGGCTCATGCGTCTGCAGATGTCACTTTACAAAGAAAAATAATAGGTTTAAATGCTTTGGGTAGTGACTGGTAGTCCAGTGCTGATATTGTCCATTTCACAAGAAGCCCCACTGATTGAGTATAGCAGTGTGGCATGAATTCAGAGTTGAAAAGCTGTAGTTAATTCTGGACAAGTGTGGGGCACACCTATTTTCTATGGCATTATTATGAAGAGAAATGATATGTTTAAAAGTATTAACCATGAGAATGTACAAAACTCAAATGTTTGAGGGAAATTCTTTCTAGTTTGATAGTTTTGCTTTTCTTTTGTAACTCATGATGGGTATTCGAATAGACTGCTGTTGAAGGAAATTATACAGTTTCACTCTCTGGAGGAACATTATCATAACTGATTTCACTTTAATTTGACCCCTACTTTAATGGTCAAAATTTTAAATGCAGGTATCTGGGATTTAGTAATACCTCTTGTAGGGATTTAAGATACACTGTTAGATGTGTGAAAATTCATATACAATATCCACTGTAGCACTATTTAAATAGTATGATACTGGGAAGGAACAAGTGTCAGCAGAGGATTAACTACATTGTTATGTCAAAACAGTGGATTAAGAATGCATCAAATAAAAAATAGGGCAGATCTATATGTATTGATAAAGAACAGACTCCCAGGGCTGGCAGGTGGTGTGGTAGTTGAGGTGCTGGTTCCCACATGGCTGACTGCAGTTTGAGTTCCAGACCAGGTGGCTTACTTTCACTTTCCCTCTCTCTCTAGTCAAATTAAAAAAATAACAGTAATAAATAAACTAATATATAATTCATTAAGAACAAAGCCTCCAAATTTTAAAATAAAAAGATAGAAAATTGGCAATATATTAGGAACACTACATTTCAGAGATATCAAGAATTGCTCTTCAAAATGATGTATATTCCTTTGTGCTGCTTCATTTTTAAAAAATTCCATATAAAAACCTTAAGAAAGTGTAGGTTTTTCTGTAGGGAGTTGGGGAAATAAACTAGAAATCCTTAGATGGCTTGCTTCTTGCCTAAATATTAGTTACCATATATGCCTAAAATTCATGGGTCAAATTATAAAGCAATGTTGTACAAATTTATAAGTGCCTGAAAGTTAAACACACCTTCAGTCTGGTTCTTTATTTTTTTTTAATTGTTTATTATTATTATTTAATTTAATCACAAATCTCTTTACAGTATACATTTCTTTTTCCAGCATGAATACTATGCATATCAGTCAAGATAAAGATATTACTATGTACATTATCACCAGCAAAGTTTCTCAATTTTTTTGTCAATTAAATATACTTTTTTTTCCTTCCTCCCTCCCATAGTAAACTTGGTTTTATTTTTTTTTCCTTAAAAAGATTTTTGCTATAGGGTGCATGTGCTTGCCAGAGAGACAGCTCATTTTCCCATCTTTTAAATGGGTTGCTCTTTTTTTGGGGGAAGGTTGCGGGTAAGCTGCTTGAGTTCCCTGTATATTCTAGTTATCAATCTCTTATCTGAAGCATAATTTGCAAACGTATTCTCCCATTCTGAGAGTTATCTCTTCACTCTAATTACTGTTTCTGTTGCTGTACAGAAGTTCTTTAATCTGACATAATTCTCCTTATCTAATTGTTGGGATTACTGCCTGTATTTCAGGGGCATTATTTAATAAGGCTTATCCTACTCTGATGTCTCCAAGAGTTGTCCCTGCGCTTTCCATCAGTAGTTTTATAGTTTGAGGTCTTGGGTTTAGATCTTTGATCCACTTAAGAGCTGATTTTTCTATTTTTTTTTCTTTGTGTGTGTGTGTGTGGAGTCTTTTGGATTTTCTATGTATATAATGATGTCATCAACAAATGGAGATAATTTCCCTTTTTTTTTTTTGAGAGAGAGATTTTTTGCTATAGGGCACATGTGCTCACTGGAGAGACAGAGAGATAGAAAGTGAGAAATCACACCCCAGGGAGGATAGCCATGCTGTAATCCCTTCTCCTCCATTCTCCTCCTGGCTTCTTGGGTACACATGCACACGTGCCTGGTGTGAGTATAAAGCCCCCAGGTCAGGGACTGGAACTATGGTTGGCCATGTAGGAATCTGGTGATGTAACTGCTACTCCATAATTGCTATGCCATAACCACTGTGCCATCTTCTGGCCCTGAAAATAGCTATTTCTATCTATTGTCTTCCATTCCTTGTAACAATTTCTTTGTGTAAGTTGTCCTTCTGGAAGTAATATTATGTAGCAATAAGTAAAACTGTAGAGCATAAAAAAATCCCAAATAAGGACAGAATGTAACAGCTTTTAAGATACTAAAGTACAATTACACTGAAAAGATAGAACAGATGGTTCTTACATGAGGTCATAATTAATCCGAGGTTACTTGAAAATAGCTTAGCATTAAGTGAAATTTAAAAATACTACACATATCAAATCTTCCCAAAACAGACTATGGATATTGTCTATATTGTCTTGTTTTTATATAAGTTTTTTTTCCCCTTGAGATTTCTGCTGTAGGGTGTGTGCATTTGCCAGAGATAAGAGACAAAGAAAGTGACAAATCACCCCAGCCCCCCATGGAGGATGACTTCCTTGCAATCCACTCTCCACTCTCCTCCAGTCAACTCTTGGGATTTTGGGCATGCACACACATACACACACACACTTGGTATAAGTTTTACGCCTCCAGGTTTGGTACTTGACCCACGGTTGACTACGTGAGAGTCTAGTGACCATTATGCCATCTGTTGGTCCTTTCTTGCAGGTTTTTTGCATATGGTATTTGTGTCTCTCTGGAGAGAGACAGTGATAGGGAAAGAGAAATCACAACTGAGTGTAGGTTTTTCTGTAGGGAGTTGGGGAAATAAACTAGAAATCCTTAGATGGCTTGCTTCTTGCCTAAATATTAGTTACCATATATGCCTAAAATTCATGGGTCAAATTATAAAGCAATGTTGTACAAATTTATAAGTGCCTGAAAGTTAAACACACCTTCAGTCTGGTTCTTTATTTTTTTTTAATTGTTTATTATTATTATTTAATTTAATCACAAATCTCTTTACAGTATACATTTCTTTTTCCAGCATGAATACTATGCATATCAGTCAAGATAAAGATATTACTATGTACATTATCACCAGCAAAGTTTCTCAATTTTTTTGTCAATTAAATATACTTTTTTTTCCTTCCTCCCTCCCATAGTAAACTTGGTTTTATTTTTTTTTCCTTAAAAAGATTTTTGCTATAGGGTGCATGTGCTTGCCAGAGAGACAGCTCATTTTCCCATCTTTTAAATGGGTTGCTCTTTTTTTGGGGGAAGGTTGCGGGTAAGCTGCTTGAGTTCCCTGTATATTCTAGTTATCAATCTCTTATCTGAAGCATAATTTGCAAACGTATTCTCCCATTCTGAGAGTTATCTCTTCACTCTAATTACTGTTTCTGTTGCTGTACAGAAGTTCTTTAATCTGACATAATTCTCCTTATCTAATTGTTGGGATTACTGCCTGTATTTCAGGGGCATTATTTAATAAGGCTTATCCTACTCTGATGTCTCCAAGAGTTGTCCCTGCGCTTTCCATCAGTAGTTTTATAGTTTGAGGTCTTGGGTTTAGATCTTTGATCCACTTAAGAGCTGATTTTTCTATTTTTTTTTCTTTGTGTGTGTGTGTGTGGAGTCTTTTGGATTTTCTATGTATATAATGATGTCATCAACAAATGGAGATAATTTCCCTTTTTTTTTTTTGAGAGAGAGATTTTTTGCTATAGGGCACATGTGCTCACTGGAGAGACAGAGAGATAGAAAGTGAGAAATCACACCCCAGGGAGGATAGCCATGCTGTAATCCCTTCTCCTCCATTCTCCTCCTGGCTTCTTGGGTACACATGCACACGTGCCTGGTGTGAGTATAAAGCCCCCAGGTCAGGGACTGGAACTATGGTTGGCCATGTAGGAATCTGGTGATGTAACTGCTACTCCATAATTGCTATGCCATAACCACTGTGCCATCTTCTGGCCCTGAAAATAGCTATTTCTATCTATTGTCTTCCATTCCTTGTAACAATTTCTTTGTGTAAGTTGTCCTTCTGGAAGTAATATTATGTAGCAATAAGTAAAACTGTAGAGCATAAAAAAATCCCAAATAAGGACAGAATGTAACAGCTTTTAAGATACTAAAGTACAATTACACTGAAAAGATAGAACAGATGGTTCTTACATGAGGTCATAATTAATCCGAGGTTACTTGAAAATAGCTTAGCATTAAGTGAAATTTAAAAATACTACACATATCAAATCTTCCCAAAACAGACTATGGATATTGTCTATATTGTCTTGTTTTTATATAAGTTTTTTTTCCCCTTGAGATTTCTGCTGTAGGGTGTGTGCATTTGCCAGAGATAAGAGACAAAGAAAGTGACAAATCACCCCAGCCCCCCATGGAGGATGACTTCCTTGCAATCCACTCTCCACTCTCCTCCAGTCAACTCTTGGGATTTTGGGCATGCACACACATACACACACACACTTGGTATAAGTTTTACGCCTCCAGGTTTGGTACTTGACCCACGGTTGACTACGTGAGAGTCTAGTGACCATTATGCCATCTGTTGGTCCTTTCTTGCAGGTTTTTTGCATATGGTATTTGTGTCTCTCTGGAGAGAGACAGTGATAGGAAAAGAGAAATCACAACTGAGAGAGGACAGCCACACAGCAATCTCTTCGCCATTCTCCTCTTAGGATTTTGGGCATGTACGTACTTGTAGCTGGCATGAGTTTCAAGCTACTGGATCTAGGACTTGAACCACAGTCAGCCACGTAGCAGTCCAGCACTTTAACCACTATGTCACCTCCTGGCCCCTGCTTTATTTTTTAATAGGATGAAATATGAAATTTTTGTGGTGTAGGATTTGGTGAGTCCTTACTAAAATCTTTCATAATAATTTTATTGATGTCACTTTGATTATGCAATCAAATACACATTACATACAAAAAGTTATAACATATTCACAACTCTTGAGATTGAGGATATAAGAAACTTACGGGCATCAGGACCAGCAGTTAGAGTAATGGCTATGTCGCTGGACTCCTATGTAGTCGACCTGGTGCGAGTCCCGGACCCGGTGGCTTAAACTCACGCCGGTGCGTGTGCATGCATGCCCAAGATCCTGAGCGGAGAATGGAGGAGAAGGGATTGTGGCTTGGCCATTCGCCCTTGGGGGGTGATTTCTCACTTTCTCTCTCTCTTTCTGGTGAGTTCATGCACCCTATAGCAAAAAAAAAACAAACCTCTTCAAAAAAGAAAAAGGCATCAATGAAGTTAGAACAGCACATAGCAAAGAACTTTATAAAACTATTAATGGCTTAAATTTATCTAGCTTATTTACATGAACTAACAAAGTCAAAACACATAGCAAACTTTATAACCCATGAATAGTTCAATTTACTTAGTTTAGTGAACAGTGCTGAACGTTGGGATAGAATAAGCCTAGGGTTTTAGGTAGGGGATACACAACTTAGCTATATGACCTGAAAAAGATATTTAGCTTCTACACGAAACGGGAGGTATTAAAAACCAGATAAGTGACAACATCCTAATATCCTTTGAATCCCATGACCAATTTTGGTAGCTTGGAATGGAAAAAAAAAGTAATCACTCTACTTCAGAAATTATTGCTTGGTAGGAAGAACATAAATTTCTG